ACTTTAAAGACACATTTGGCTCCTCTCTTTTCTGAGGGTTTTTAATGCTGACGACCACCAAAGGGAAAGAGTATGATCACCAAGTTACTTTTGTTCATTTTCTCCTTTTAACATTACAAGGAGCGAGCTCAAGTAGATAAGAAGAGAGACAAACAAACAATGAAGGCTTATGATCATTTAGCTTTCCTAAAGTTCAGTAAATAATCCAGAGAAAATGCTAAACCTCTAGGCAACAGTAACTATAAGAAGGAATTCTTTGGTGAGGGAGGTACCAAGGTTATGAGGCAAGTGCTTTCTACAAGCTTCCTGAAGCTGAGACCCAGAGCTCACCTCATCATGAAACAAACAAACAAAAAACAACCTGTGATATATTTAGAAGCCAAGGGAAGTAAAAAGCTTTATTATTAGTTAGCATTTTCATTCAATAAAGATGGGAAATTCACATAAAGCAGTCCCCTGTTTACACATGAGAGTTTGGTTTTCTTTTTGGTCTATATTCCTTAGAGAATTTTCTATTTTGTCTATATAGATGGCGCCTTAGTATGTATGTAGTATTTTTAAAATATTGGTTGATGAGTTCAAATGACTGTGAAGAAGATACTGTGCCATTGCAGAGAAAACACAGCCTAGCATTTGGGGTTGTTAGTTCTAGACCTGGCTCTGGTCCTATAATGTTGAATAAATCACCTAGTTTTTACAACTCCAAAATGGGAGGGAGACGATGTCTTAGGTCCCTTCCTTCTGTAAGAGGGAAACTGAGTGACTTCCCACCTGAAGATGTTTTATTATTAACACTACCAAAGAAAAGCACTCCTGCCACTTCCTTCTCTGGCTCATTTTGGTATCAGACACTCTCAGTGTCTCAGTTTCAAACAGAACCAAAATACTGATCATCAGTACTTAATTCCATTCATTATTTTATTCACAAAGGAAGACTCTGTTTAGTCTCTAATTTCCTTATAAAAACCCCTTTCATAATGTGAAGACTTACAGCTTTACTTTCTAAACTAAAAAAGTATGTCACATTCTCTAATATTTATCCATAGGATCTATTTTCTAGCCTCTCTCTTAAAATTTTGTGCCTGCATTTTTATTATTGTTCTTGCTAATTTTTCTAGTTCCCATTACTTGTTTTTTTTTTTTTTTAACTTAGAAGTTGAAAGGTAAAGCCTTCTTTCATTCACGAATGCAATAAATATTTATTAAAAACCTATATTATGTCAAGTGGTATGCTAGGAGCAAAACAAATATACTTCCTGTGTTCATGGACATTCTAGTTTATTAACCTGATAGATAAGAGGTCTTTGCTTCACTAAAAATACTAGAGCAACCGTAGAGCACTCTTTGTTTAGTTTAAGTCTCAGACATTTCACCAACAGCTTGGATGGTAATTTACATTAGAGGTAATACGTTTAACTCTTCTAAAGTAAAGGAGTTGGGGCGCCTGGGTGGCTCAGTCAGTTAAGCGTCCAACTTCATGAAGCTCAGGTCACAATCTTTATGGTTCATGAGTTTGAGCCCCACATTGGGCTCTCTGCTGTCAGCACGGAGCCTGCTTGGGATCCTCTGCCCCTTCCTCACTCCCATGCGCGCGTGCTCTCTTTCAAAAATAAACATTAAAAAAAAAAGAATAAAGTAAAGGATTTGTGATCTGACACTAGAGAATGCCTGAACCAAACCTGGAGATGAGGCAAACAGCCCTGCAGCCAGCTTTGTTCTTGAATTAAGCACATTCAGCACTTCTTACCAAGAAGGCTCAGGCGGCAGTTTCATGAAGGGCATCTGATGGGCAGTAGCTTTCCCTGTTGAGCCTCCCCCAAAGCAACCACAATGCATCTTCCCTGGGGCCAATGCCTCCATGCGGATGACTCTTGCCTGGGATGTGGGGTGGTATAATCAATGCCTCATTCAAAATTTAGAAATTTGGTGTGAAGCAAAGAGCTACCACGATGAACAAAGAATATGACTTTGTCCATCCATTTCAGTTGTAGACAAGATTCCATCAATGTCAAGGAGTTGTACAACATTCCTCAACTACTGTTAGTTAACATGGGCTGAAAGCCTATGATGTTGCATTTGCTTGGAACAGACATGCATTCATCACCTGGTTTTAGTCATTACTATTCTTTTTAGATTTTCTGCAAACTTGCTTTCCCAAGGAGCTAATAAATGAACATTTCCCCTCATACGCTGGGAGAATGCAAACTGGTAATAGAAATAACTTAATTTTGAGGAGGTGTCAGTTAGAGAGTTCTCTGAAAAAACTAGTCTCAGAAAACTAACCTGCACCTGAGGTATGACTTTTAACTAAACTACCTCCTACTACATGGTACAACCCACTTTGGTAAAGGCTTTGTTTTCAATTTAAAATTAAGGAAATCCATTTATGCATCTATTTCATCAGTAACATTTTGTTAAGTCTCTACTGTGTACCAGGCAATGTGCTTGAAACCGGGGATACTGAGAAAAAGTAAAGGACAATTTCTAACCTCAAGTGAGACCCAGTCTAGAGCATGTCTCCACAGAAACACTGCAGGGCAGAGCAGAATCTTCCACCATTTCGGTGCACTTAGCCTACACTTGGGGTAGATATTAGCTACGTTTTAGGCTGGGAAAATCCCTTCAAAGAGAATAACAATCTCTTTAACTCAGCTGAATATAAAAGAGTGCTTTGAGAAATACTGGCTAGCCAGAGAAGAGAATAATTGACAACAAATCAAGGGCATTTATTAGGGAAAATAAGAGGCAATAGGTCTCTAGTACTTTCTCTTGCCACCTGGGAGGTAACAAGAGTCCAGCAGCATCTAGCCATTGAGTCTTGAGGCTAAGAAAATCCAAAGGCCAGAGAGTAACCTCTTAGTTGGCACATTCTGGTGACTCGTTCCTTTGAGCACTTAACCCATACTAATATTCCTGATGGGCTTGGACATATAATGACACCATTCAGGATGCTGTAGTTAAAAACCAGGTCAGCTTCCCAGTTCTGCATTTGTTTTCAGGAGATCAAGTTTGTGGGAATTCATGTCTTTGGAATGCATGCAGTAATGACGTTATTTGAGGGTCATGATTCCACACACATCTTCTATGAGATTTACTTCTGCATTGTTGGTGAAAGACAGAAAATTCCCTTTCATCGGTCACTTTCATTCCCTTTTAGAAGGTGGGACTACAAACCGATATATAAACATCAAAAATTTTATTTTATCTTCTCTTGAGTCATCAGTTGGAAATGGCCAACTTAGAATATCTCCTTTTCTGCCAAATTATCAATGGGTTCAAATTATGTTACCTCATGGAGGAAGATATATTTTAATTTAACAGTGTTTTAAGAAAACATTACAACTAACTAGCAGACTGGGCTCCCAGAGTCTACTACATTATATACACAAAAATATCCTGAGAGAAAGGGCATTTTTTACTTTTACTTTTATTCAATCAGCTTAACCAATTGATATCTGCTCCTGGATATAACTTGAGGAAGAGAAAAAAATAATCAGGCAGCAGAATGGAGAATTTTTAGCCAACTATACTTTTAAGTTTAGTCCTGTCATTAGCTTCTTGTAGAATCAGGAATCAGCTTTAGTGAAGAATGACTTTTGGGAGGAGGATGGTTGCTACTGGAACTTGATTTGGCTCAACTAAGTGACTATTGCTCCTCTAGATTTTTCTTTTACAAAATTTTTTTTTAATGATTATTTATTTTTGAGGAAGAGAGAGAGGCAGAGGGTGAGCAGGGGAGGGGCAGAGAGAAAGGGAGACACAGAATCTGAAGCAGGCTCCAGGCTCTGAGCTGTCAGCACAGAGCCCAACACGGGGTTCGAACTCATGAGCCATGAGATCATGACCTGAGCCAAAGTCGGACGCTTAACCAACTGAGCCACCCAGGCACCCCCTCCTCTAGAGTCTTCTATTCTGGTTCAAGCACCCTGAAACCTGGGACTCATGTGGGACTTCTTCCTCCTGTCATTATCCCATGGTTTGCATCCTATGGACTGTTAAAACCACCCCCAAATATACTTTCCATCCTTATTCCTCTCCAGTCCACTTTCCGTATCACTTCCAGAAAAGCAAATCAACTTACATTACCCACCTAACTCCTTTTTTAAAGAATTTGGCTATACTTTCTAAATGCCCAGAGAATGAAGACCATGGCACCTATTTTTGTTAACCACTGCATCCCCAATGCCTATCTTAACACCAGAAACATAGCGATGCTCAGTACACATTTGTTGAATGCCTTAAGACTTTCCATGACTGGGCTCTTGCCCACCACTCTGGCCAAAACTGAGGCTTCCCTCAAGCCATACTGATCTCCTACTAGCTCTTGAACTCATCTTGCTCTCACTTGCCTTCACGCTTTTGCATCAGCCAATCTTCTGGCTTAAAATGTTGTGCCTACTTGGGCTCACATCCTACTTGCCCTCACCAAATCTAGGTGGGAAACACTGCTTCATCTCCCAAGAGAATACTACTATAATCCTCTTTCAGCGCCGCCTCTGACCACTGATCAGTCCACAAAGTCCTCATTTTCCTCCAGGATCAGAGAGGCTCAAGGCTGGGCTGGGATCAAAACATCCGTTTTCAGACTTGATGGGGCTGGGGTGGGCTGGGGTGGACTGGGGCTTGCAAGGCTCATGAGGGTTTGAGATAGCAGGTACTGACTCTGGATGCTGCTGTGCCTTTCAAAGGTGGCTCTGCTAGGACTTCATTCCCAGTACAGGAGTAACAGGTGTTCAGGGTTAGTCCAGGTACTTAAAGGTTAACTGTCCCCATACCTCAATAAAACTGCCCAAAAAAAGGTTATTTATTGTTTCTCTGGAGGAAAATGTTTTCCATATGCAAATTGGAAACTACCTGCACTTTATTGCCAGTTACTGTTTCTTGCTTCTTCAAAAATAAACTCTAAGCCAAAACTCTATGTACCTCTGACATGAAAGCCATGCTTTCCTTTTTTCCCCTTAAGCAACAAACAGGTGTAGTTTTAAGGGACACTGAGCTCGTTATTCAGTGGCATCCAGGTTCAGTACACATTTGTTGAATGCCTTAAGACATTCCATGACTGGGCTCTTGCCCACCACTCTGGCCATAACTGAGGCTTCCCTCAGGCCACACTGATCTCCTACTAGCTCTTGAACACAATCAAATAAGAGAGTGTGCGGCTGAGGTTCTGGTAAATATAGGGCCCAATGGTTCAGGATGGTAATTTGTAAGGTTCAGAGGTTACAAGCACTTCAGGACCACCATCCCACCCCCTACTTCCATTGTACTGGCAGAGAACATAAGAATTTTGAAACACGATGAAGGAAAGACTAAAAGGGAGGAAAACGAAACACGGTTCATGGTTAATCTCTCCATCTTCAAATGCAATGAAGTTATTCACCTAATTTAAAATACGATTGAAGTGACAGAACTCTCTTTAAATATTTTGTCCCTAAGATGCTGTAAGATTTCTTACACATACATTACCACGTTTTCCATTTAATTACTGATCAAAAGGCGCTAGTCGAAAAGACGAAGATCTTGCCATAAACCAGAATGATTTGTGAGATTACAGCATGTAGGCCTGTGCGATCTTCCTCTTGATTTTCTAAACACTGTTCATGGGTAAAAGATGTAGACTTACTTGAGTAGAACTTTCCTATTTATAGTGGTTAATACAGAAACCACACAGGATCCAGTCCTGCGTTGCAAACCTTTGAACACCACATCTATGAAATTCTGTTGTCTTTTTAAATTTTCAGTAACATTTCTCTTTGCTATATTTATCACATTTTCCAAAATATGAAAACGTTCTTTTTATTTTAAATGTTGACTACATGTGAAAAATTAACTCTGGTTCTATTACTTCAAACTATCCCTTTATTAGCAACAGTTGTGCAGTGCTGTCACAAAGAATTTTAAAATGAAAGTACCAAATTTGGAGAGTAGACACATCTGTTTTACTTTGCAGTTTGTTTTATTGTTTTATTTCTTCAGCTATGAATTCACAACTATCTTATAACTGAAGACTAAAGAAAAAACATATGTTGGTAAATCTGATTTCTGCAGTGTTTTCACTCGGGGGAAGTTGCCTCCCTCAGCTGTCTGCCAATAAGTAATAAATGGACTTGGCAAAAAGTTTATTTAAGTTGGCTTTATTAAGCCAACAAAATACAGAAATCTAGTATGGGACAGGCAGAAAAATCTGTTCCTTTGAAGTCAATAAAAATCCATCTCCTTAATCCTTTTTTTATTCCAAGCAGTGGTGATTTTTCTCAACTGACTCACTGAGAACCTTGATTTAGCCAATCTGTCTTGCTTAGTTATCTTTCTTCTCCAAAGCTTTCCTAGAGAAGCATCCTTTCCCCTTGACAACCATCATCTTTTATACTTGCATAGTGATGTGTCTGGTTATAAACATTCTCTGGTTAATCCTGATAGAGATTTAAGAAACAGGCTTTTAATTACTATCCATCATTTACAGTAAAAACAGCAGTAGCTTGCAAGCTGCAACAAAAGGCGCATAGAAATCATCAATAGCAGAAGGATGGCTCCAATTCGATACCATACGTCCTTCTTAAGCAATCTCCATTCAACCTTCTGACACAGTTTTATACAACTGCTCCTTACTCATTATGTCCATTATGAGAGAAAATTCAGGACTCCAGTCTAATAACTCCTTTCCCACCCCTAACCCACCTACTAACAAGCTATGAATCATGCAGAAGGATAAACATAAAAATATATTCACGCTTGAAGATTTCGTGATTTGAAAAGAAGGGCATTACCTTGGTAGAACAAAAACATGCATTGACTTCAAGACACTCCGAGACTGGCATCATATAGTAACATTTGGCTGTATGTAGTATGAGAAAGGATTCCTTACCTAAACTAAAGAGCACCAAGAATTTCAGACACACAAACTCTCGTTGATCGAACTGTAGAGAGCGAAGCTTTGCCACTAACTCCTGTGCGTGACTCATGAGATTGTTGAGGGTGGCCCCGGCTTGTGATGCTATTATGGAATAGTCCACCTGCAACACAGAATGACAGTTTTAGTGACTACCAGAATCAGAAACATGTATTTTAATTGAAACTTTTAAGAATTGTGGGTAAAATCAGATTCCACTATAGATTTACAACAGAGAAGACATTACCTGTGAAAATAGTTGGACACATGCTATTATTTTGCAATGTATCATAATTACTCTGAAAAAAACCTAATCACTTTGATAAGTTTTGTAGGGAACAGATTTTTTGCCTACCTAAATTTTATAGGTATATACCTTCATCTTTTTTCTATTGTGACACGACATTACCAGGTAGGCTAAAATTTTTAACTCTCACAAGTAAGTTTAAAGAAAAATGTACGATCCATACAAAGTGAATCCAGAATAGCATTCTGTGAGCACGTGATGATATTAACCAGTGCATGAGGAAAGTGAAGGCAGAGATAGGTTTCTATTTTCATTTTATTAAGAGACTATATTTTAAAGTAGTCATTGTTCAAGAATGCATGCTTGTGGATGATGAAGGAATCACATTGAGATTATTCTTAAGCTTGTTGCTTCCTACAAAGCAACAACTCTTTTCATATGATTATTAATACATTTTTCTCTAAAGACGACAATGATCGTATTAAGAAAAATAACTGCTTGGGGTGCCTGGGTGGCTCAGTCGGTTGAGCATCTGACTCTTGCTCTTGGCTCAGGTCATGATCGCACGGGTTCTCGAGTTCAAGCCCCACATTGGGCTCTGCGCTGACAGAGCAGAGCTTGCTTGGGATTCTCTCTCTTCCTCTCTCTCTCAAAAATAATAAACATTTAAAAAGAAAAAAGAATTTCTTGATTTGGAAAACAAAACAAAAAAGGCTTTTTTTCTTCTTCATTAAAAAAAAAAGGTGCTGTAATGCACCAATCTTAGATTATTCATGGGGACATGAAAAGTTCAGCTTAGAATAATAAGTTAAGATGTTGGGATGGCTGTCAATGATGGTACTGGCTTTGCTGCTGCAATTATAGCATAATGGGAAAGCCCAGTTGGTACCTGATACTGCCATCCTTTTTGTACTGGAGAGCTCTCAGGCAACCAGATACTCTTTTAGGTGCATTTAATATTTGCAGCAGCAGCAAATTTGTCTGGGAGGCAAGTCCTCATCTGCCACTCACCCGGAGCAGACTGTATTAAATTTTTATATTTATTGACATTTCATTACCATAATTGACTGCACTTGCTTCTCCAGGAGAAGGCACAGGGCTGCCTCCTAAGCAGGAGAACGAGTCCCTAGAGTAGAATTTGCAATTAAAAACAAGGCAGAATGGATTTTTTTTTATTGTGTAAATATGATGAGTTGAATTTTCAGCTTTAACTAGAGAATACTGGGTGTACAGAAACCTTTTTCAAGAGTGGGAAAAATTATGAGTCAGTGGAAAGATGACCCCCAAAGGTGTCAATCAGTTTATAAAGAGTCAACTATGCATGAAAAAGCCACAGTTAATGTGTGTTCTAGGTATGCTCTCGTATCAGGCACAGCACTGTCCTACCAGCTTTGTCCATGTGCTGGCACCTGTCTGCTACATTTAAACATCAAGTGTTCTAAGAACTCTTTGGTTTCTGAGAATGTGTGAAGGCAAAGGCCAGTACAGAGGCAACCTGAACCGTGAGCTGGAAGCAGAGAGGACAAGCAGAAGAACACGGTGGAGCACACTGTGCGGATCTGTGTAGCACCTGAAGGCATGTCTCAACTATCATTTTGCCAGTTCTCTTACAAGGGAACTTTCTACTCCAGAGAAGTTTTCTTTTACTTAAAAGTGGTGCCTGAGCCTTAAATTCTTCAAAACTTATACACATCGTCTAACTACCCCAGATAATAATAATATAAATCCTACAGAGACATACAGGACAAGTGAGGGAATGACAGCGGGAAGGTCCTGTAGGGTCGCGAAGGCCAAAGAAAACTGGGACAAGATAGGCAGAGATCTGGGCCGACATGGCCACATACAAACAAAGCATCTTAGGGAGGTCTTATGAGAACTCCATCCCTTAGGGCCCTGAACGTTAAATAATACAGTGAAGGTAGATGATAATAAGGTGCCTCCCACTTCTAGGATCATCAGGAAATGAGAGTACCTGGGGTAATACTACCAATTCAAGCTCGGCATCAATTGTTGAATGCGCCGCAGCTGAGTAGCATACTATGTACAGAGCACATTTTAATCAAAATCACCAGTTAAGCCTTAAGCGAGGAAGGTGCACTAAAATAAACCACAAATCTGTCACTATGAATTAACTTTTCTCATTATTAGGATAAAGTTAACTGAGTGTCGATATGTATACAGTTCCAACAAGTATGCAATAGGTTCAAATAGGAGAACCTCCTACTTGAAAATGTAGTACATTGTAACAAGAACCTAAAATCATTTTTTTAAAAAAAAGACAGGTTATTGGGCATGAAATGCAGTCGGTTAAGCTGCCCGACTATGATCCGCGATCAGTCTCCCGCGGTCTGGTGGAGTTGAGCCTTGTCGGGCTCTGGGCTGATGGCTCAGAGCCTGGAGCCTGTTTCGATTCTGTGTCTCCCTCTTCACTGCCTCGCCCGTTTCATGCTCTGTCTCTCTGTCCCAAAATAAATAAATGGTGTGAAAAAAAAAATAAAAAAAAAAAAAAAATAAATAAAGGTCAATTAAAAGTTGATATATGTGCAGTTCTTTTTTTTTTTTTTTTTTTTTAATGTTTATTTGTTTGTTTTTGAGAAAGAAAGAGAGAGAGCAGGGGAGGGGCAGAGAGAGAGAGGGAGACAGAATCCCAAGCAGGCTTCAGGCTCTGAGCCGTCAGCACAGAGCCTGACACGGGGCTCGAACTCACGAACCGTGAGATCATGACCTGAGCCCAAACCAAGAGTCTGGCACTTAACCAACTGAGCCACCCAGGCGCCCTGATATATGTGCAGTTCTAACAGGGATGTGATAATAAGTTCAACTCCTAGAACTTTACACTTCAAGACATAGTACACTAAACCGATAGAAACTGAAATTGTTCCACAAGATTCTATAGTTAGATGAACTTCAGGAAATCAATCGGCATACCAACAACTTTCCAGCTATACATTTATTTACATGCTAATTTGAAAGCTCAAACATGCTTATTAAATGGGAGCTCCAATAACATTTCCTTCAAGGATAATTTATCAAATTGCACGGCTCTGAAGGAGGATAGGTGATTTATTCCTGAAACAGCACACACATCTGCAACTTCCTTACATTTTATTACGCACATAATTATGTTTTCATTGTTGAGGGCAGAGTTTGTGCCCATTTCAGGAGCAGCTGGCCTTGTCTTTTATGTACTTAGTAAAATTAATTTATTGCTCTCTTACATGTAATCTTCGTGCCATTAAATTCAAGGCAGATATTGAAGAAATACTATAAGCTGATGTCCCCTATGGATAAATTTCAATCATCATGAAGGTAGAAACAGTTTTAGCTAAATTGCTTTTAGTTTTTTAGTTCTAACAGCCGAAATTTTTGATGACTTATATACACTGTAAGATGCCTGTCATTTTAATATGACACAATGATAGAAGATAATGAAGAAGTTGCCAGTGGACCTTTCCCTTGGGATGATATTACAGTGGCTGTTAATTAGTTACAATATGCAAATACGAAAAGCGATCCCACCTTAAACTACTCTATTGTTAATACACACACACACACACACACATAAGTATTATGTACACACAGATATGTCTTATGTGCATGTATTTCTTTTATTTTAAAAAAAGAGAATGTGGGGCGCCTGGGTGGCGCAGTCGGTTAAGCGTCCGACTTCAGCCAGGTCACGATCTCGCGGTCCGTGAGTTCGAGCCCCGTGTCAGGCTCTGGGCTGATGGCTCAGAGCCTGGAGCCTGCTTCTGATTCTGTGTCTCCTTCTCTCTCTGCCCCTCCCCCCTTCATGCTCTGTCTCTCTCTGTCTCAAAAATAAATAAAGTTAAAAAAAAAATTAAAAAAAAAAAAGAGAATGCAAGCAGGAAGAGGAGTAGAGGGGGAGGGAAGAGAAGAGAGGGAGAGAAAGAGAGACAGAGAGACAGAGAGAACCTTGGGCTCCAGGCTCAGCGCACAGCCCGACGCAGGGCTCTATCCCCTCGACCTGAACCAAAATCAGGAGTCGGTCACTCAAACAACTGAGGCTCCCAGGCACCCTATGTGCATGTACTTTTAAAACACTGAATAGAAATGAATTTTTGTCATAGTTTTAAAAGGATGAAAGTATAGAATCGATCTGATAATACTAATAATATTATTAGTAATACTACTGATCATCGTTATTTCCTTTTTGCTTAACAAGATTTTTAATATATGCTTACATAGATGGCTGATTAAGAGATATAATGAAAGCTTAACAGCTGACCTTAGGTTTAAGCAAGAAATTTGGTGTGAATCACCAAATCCTCATTTTAATACTAGGTAGTGGAGCCCGGGGCTGCTGTCTGCAGTGGGATTATTTCAGTTCCTCTAGTTCTCAATGAACCATGAAGGGACTCAATTGTCCAGACATTTATGTAGCAAACATAATGTGCTAGCCACGGGACTTAGGAGAAAAGTGGCGCTGTTTTATCTAACTTTTCTTCTCTCTCTTCAAGCTCCAAGAAGCAGTTCCCTGGAACTGTTTCTTAAAACTAAGTCTAATCTTGGGGCGCCTGGGTGGCTCAGTCAGTTAAGTGGCCAACTTCAGCTCAGGTCATGATCTCGTGGTTCATGGGTTTGAGCCCCGCATCATGCTGGAGCCTGCTTCAGATTCTGTGTCTCCTTCTCTCTCTGCCCTTCCACTGCTTGTGCTCTCTCTCTCAAAAAGTAAACAAACATTAAAAAAAAAAAAAAGCTAACTAAGTCTAGTCTTTTTCTTCCTCCTCTGTTGCAATAAATGCACCTTATTTACCATGAGCTGAGTTCAGTAGGAAAATGCCAGAACACGGGATCAAGGAGCACCTGGGGCCTCACATTCCTCAGCTTGTCTAGCAGAGCTGCTATCAAGCATTGCATGGACCCGACATGCAGTCTCAAGGTGACAAAAAATTTCTTCCTGGGTTTCCTTTGTGTCAGGACGATAGCCCTGATATTATGGACTGAGGCATATTTAATATGACTGTTCATCTTAAAATACTCAGCATAAACATTTTCATTTGTTCCAGAAGAAATCATCACAGGGAAGTTGAGAAAATTCTGTAAGTAAACCTCAAAATTTCTTTTTGTTGTTGTTATACGTAAATGCTAATTTATTTATTTTTGAGAGAGAGGGCAGGAGAGGGGAAGAGAGAGGGAGAGAGAGAATCCCAAGCGGGCTCTGTGCTGGCAGCACAGAGCCCGACACAAGCTCATGGCCTCACACACCATGAGCCAAAACCAAGAGTCAGACGCTCAACTGACTGAGCCACCCAGGCACCGCAAACCTGGAAATTTCTAATGAGTGATTTGGGAGTCCCGTTATTTCTTCCGGTTGAAGCTGTAAAAGGTGGTGGAGTTTAGGTAAAGTTCTATCCAGAAATTCTTTGTCACTGCTCCTCTAACCCTGTCAGGATTTAAGCAGTAGTGTCTGCCTCAACCTGCAAAGGAGTTTGGTCAAAACCTTCACTTTGGAAAGAAGGCACTTCCTTCTAGAAGTGGAATCTGGACAGCTTCAAATGCCCATGTGATTCCCTTTGCACTTCTTCCACTGAACCTTCCTCCCATCTTATCTGAACCTGTGTCACGCGGCTTTCCTGTGAAAGTGCACAGTACAAAGCACTCTGCAAGGGTCAGTCATCACAATCGTTAGATGATAAATTACACCTCTTATCACCACTGAGTGCAGGACTGTGTCTAATTTTCCCCCTCACATCTTTGATAGGCCCTCAGGAATATTTTTAGCTAAATGAATAAAGCTGTTCCTCTCCCCTAGGTGAGTGTTAAGCTGCTCATACGGGTATTTTGCTTTATTGAAATAATTCTGTGGAATTTTTTCACCACGATATCAACATCATAACTCTATACGACGCATCGTGGAAACAGGCTTCTATCATTGTTTCAAAGTTCACATTCTGCACAAATCTGTGGTAGTAGGTCAATGTGTTTCAGTGGCAGATGAATTATTTGATTTAGGAAAGTAAGAAAAACCCACATTTAAAACACTTTTCTCCAAAGATTGGAAGAAAACTCAACAAAGACAGCTGATTCAGGGTGGTGGCATTAGGAATGACCCTTTTTCTTTTTTTCTAGCATTTTCTTCATGCTGAAGTAACTTCATAACAGTAAGTAATAAACAGGTGAAAATACTCCTGGGAAAATTTATATTTGTTTTTACAATGTGTTTACAAGGCCACACCAAAAAGTATATATACAACAAAAACATTTATTTATTCAGGCTCAATGAAAAAGAAATGAATGTTTTGCTTGGAAGTTCCATAGAAGGGGTCAGGCACTGACATGATACACGAAGACCAAATTGAGCACCTATGGTGAAGCAAGCTCTGTACATCTAAAACCATACAGAAAAGCAGTCTGGTATGTTGGTTAAGAACACAAAGTTTGGCACGAGGCTGCCTCAATCTGAATATCCTACCACTATTTATAGTTGTGTTTTGGCCTTGAATCAAATACGTCACCTCTTTTTGCCTCAGTTCCTCATCTGTAAAATGGGGATAATAATAATAATGATAATAATAGTACTTTCTTCATACGGTTGTTGACTTCATAACTGTCAGCTACATGTCAGCTCAGTTTTGATAGTTTCTAATTTTCACATCTGCACTTTACAGAACTATTTCTTGTAATTCCTACTATAGTCCTGTGAGGTGGTTTCCACTACAGTCCCCACTGGATAGGCAAGGACACTCAACCTTGGAGAGAAAGGGGAGCTGCTCAAGATGACACAGCTAGTAAGTTTTGGAATGGGGACTTGAACACAGGTCAGTTCACCTCTGAACTAGACCACATGTGTACAACACACACACACACAACATTTTCATACTAGAGAAAAAGGAGTCTGCACTGGTAATGAAGATATACTCTACCCATAGTTCAATTGTTGTTAGTCTATAAACGAAGGAAATTCTCTCTCTCTCTTTTTTTTTTTTTTTTTGCTTTCTTCAGCCATCTCCATGCCTTTTCCTTTTAAAAATCATTCCCCCCCACCCTGCATATTGCTCTATTCTTGCACTTCCTTTCATCCTTTCATCACTGCTTTCCTGATCTTCCTAAAATTAGCATACTCCAAATCCTGTATTATTGTCATTGTTGCTTTAACAACAACAACAACAACAACAAATCTAGGTTTCCCCACCGTAATCAGGGAAGTGTTTATCATTCTAAGAAAATTATACTTAACATTCTCAGTATCTCCCTGCATCTCGGGGTGGGAAGCAGTGCATGTCTCCTACAGTAAAAAAGTGACTTAGTAATGTAGGACCTGTGCTGGTGTCTCAGCCCCACGACAGAAAATGGGAAGTTGTAAGACAGTGTAGATGAGATGTGGGAACATGGAGGGGATTAATACTCTGGGTGTTGAGTGCAAGTTAACTTGTTTTAATTAAGCACTTAGGTTACAGATAGAATGGTTCTAATTTAGTACCATCAGCTAATATTTACCACGCACCTCACATATTCAGCACTAAATAGGTACTGTGGAGATGTAAAAATAAGTCTATGACCCCACATTAAAATATCTTTCTCATTCTGTTGGAACGGTCACATGCTTTGGAAAAGTCTTCCTTTGTAGCACTTCTTTTGCTTTTACTTAAGAAATTCTAGGAGATGAAATATTGCTGGATTCATGAATCGCTTAATAAAGCCAATTAGATCTTTAAAAAAAAAAAAAAAAAAGGTGTAAATTGCAAGAAGCCCGGAGATACGTTCAAAATGTTTTGTCTACTCTGTTCCACACCAGAATAGAAGATTTGTTTCAAAATTTTCGTAAATAAGAATGTCTGATTATAATGAATCATTACTATACCATACTATACTATACTATACTATAATGAATCATTACAATTCATTGGATTGGATGGAAAGGGGAAGGGGAGGGGTTTGATGCAAATGTTACTCACTTTAGAAGGGCGGAGGAGAGAGCTAGAAGAATTTGGGTGGCAGGAAAGGTGTGAGGTAAGAACTAGTTCTCCACCAGGGAGTTCTCTATTCTGTTGTGATGGCAAAACATGAAGTAGCAATAATTGATACTAAAGACTATAAATACCATCTATTCCTGAGTGTTCTTGGTTTTGAAAATCAGAGAGAAGAAATGCACTTTCTCTACTTTTTAAATGGTAATTACTTTTACCCAGGGACAGCACTTAAGGCAAAATGAAATGTGAAATAAGGAGTATTTCTAAAGAGCAAGAATGGAAGTGCTTTGAGAAAGAACCGCACAAACCCATTTGATTTCTGAAACTCGGAAGGAAATGAAATCAAATTAATCTGTGGGCTGAGTCTTCTTCTAATGCAGTTTCTACTTGGGCAGGGATGGGGGAATATAAGAGGGAGAGGGGGCTAGGAGTCATACCCAGTAATTAAACTCTAGAAATGGGTACGTTTTCTCCAAAGACTTGGGTCACTGGACGAAAATGTTAAACAGACATTTCAAAGTGCAAGACGTCAAGCCCACGAGACTTTATTTTCTCGTCTAGAAGGCTTTTCTCAAGAGATGTACAGAAAGCAGGGACCAGACAGTGATGGAGATGGTTGAATTGATCCAATTTGCAAAAACTCTGAAATAGTGCTTGCCTTTAATTTGATTGGGAAAATGTGATTTATTAATAATACAGCAAATGGTGTGGAGACAGCCTCTCATTTTCAAATATGCACTGCTGTGGTTTCACAGCACATAAACATTTATGGCTGGATGTAAAAGATCACGGTGCCTGAGTCCTGAAGTACTGAGGCATTGCTGAACACGGCAGTGATGCTTGAATAGGAATGACCCAATGGACTTAGGGAAGCCCTATGCTCCATGCATTTATTTTAATAACACATCAGTTATTGAATGAAGGCTATGAAATGGGAGGGACATGCCAAAATCCTGTAAAGTTGGACTTAGGTCCATGAAGGCAATAACTATCTCTCCTCCTCCAAGTCTTTGCTAAAATATCACCTTCTCAATAAGACCGAATCAACCACTCCTATTTAACACTGCAATCCTTGGGTCACAATGCAACATATGCCCATGGATGTGTGCTGATTCTCTTTTGCACAGAACTTCCTGTTTCTTTTTTCCATTTCTTCCTTTATTCAACAGCACTTGGACCTCTAATACAGTATATGTTCCTTATATATAGGTTTCTTATAGGATTATTCTTTATTGTCAGCTTCTCCCTACTATAATGTTAAGTTTCACGAGGGTAGCAGCCTTTTTCTGTGTTGTTCACTAGTACCTGCCAAAACCTTAGAATAGTGACTAGCACACCGTCAGACGTTCAGTAAATATTTGTTGACTGACAAACATCAATTCAGAAAGGTGTAGGACCTAACAGTAATTTTTTCTGCCTTTGTTTTGAATGATGGCTGGCTCTTGAAAACTCGAGCCCCTGTCCCCTTTCACGTGCTTGCCTTTATGCCAAACATTTAGTTTATATACGATATTTGAATCAGTCTTTTCCACCACTATGACTTCAAGACAGTAAAGATTCCACAACGTATAAGCTTTTTTAATAGCTGATAAACAAGTGTGATAGATTGATGCAGAAGCTCGTGGAAAAAATGCTGGGTACTAATCGTGAATTCTGATTTAGCAATTGTTTGGACCCTTCAAAGCACAACTTTCAATCCCAGCAGACTGAAAGCAGCAGAATGTTTGTGATTATGTTTGCTTTTACAAGTTTAACCGTAATCATCGGTGTAGGAACAGAGTGCACCAGGCCAGCTTTTCTAAATTATGTACAGCCAATCTCTCCCTTTCAAAGCATCAGAGTGCTTCTGACCTAGTTAAATTCCTGCCATTCTGAACATGCTTAATAAAAAGACTTTTTTTCTTTTTTTTTCTTTTTTTCTTTTTTTGATTCTCTATACTCACTTGTTGCCCAGTAACCAGGAAGATTGATCCTTCCTTTCCGTGTACCACTTGTCGGTAAATGTGGTCAAGAATTAAGAGCTCACTCCAGCAATTCTGAAGCAGTTTCATTTGGTCATCAACCTATAAAAGAAATAGAAAAAAAAATGGCACTGTTATTCACAACATTTTTTGTCTTTGCATAATTTTCTGCATAAGAGAACTCGCTGTAAGCCAAGAACTCTCTGCCGACGGTTGCCACAGCATAGATGCTTGGGGTTTACATTGCTGCTCCTGAAAATCATTATTTTCATTTGGACAAATACGTTTTAAGCCACATATGAATACTTAAGAGTAGTATTTATAATCAATGAGCTGCTAGGAAAAGGTCCTCCATTAGAACGGTCTGTCCAACGTTAACAGAGCTATTAGAGTTTGCTTATGGAAGGTACAGGCGCCTCACTCTGTCCTCAGTAGACCCCACTGGAATGACCCCAAATAGCCTGTGCTTGTGTATCTAGAGTTTAATACATTGACCCAAAGCTGAAATAGTATATAGATATTTGCAAGCTGACAAACTGAGAAGATTTATATAAGAGACAACTAGCATGCCAGCACAAATGACTTTTGGAACACTGCCATACTTTGTCATCAGTGTTGATCGGAAGTCCAAACCTTGCTAGACTTTGAACCAAACAATCACCAGCCATAGTCTTGATGCTACCCTGCATTTGCTTTACGATTTGGACGATTTTCCCACAAACTCTCTAAACTTCAGTTTCCAGAACTGAAAAATGAACCAAGAACATTACCTCCCTCAGAGGACTCCATGAAGAAAATGAAATGTGCTGTGTCCCAGTGGGCATTTTATTCTTATTTCGTCTTGTCCTCCAGGAAACTGGATTCTTCAATGACAAACCCATACCTATTTCATGTACAGCTCACATATCCACGGTCTAAATGTGATGAGCATATTCACCCAGTCATATGGCTACTTGTAATAGTTTGTTCTTCATTTCGTAACATATACCAGCCAAAGACCCTGGTTTTTCCAAATGTGGTGGCCACATCTAGACATACACTGTGTATTTATAAAAATAACATCTGACATTGAGGTGTTGTTTCATAGTTTTTAGCGTTTTTTGTGCATTGGTTTAGACTTGACTGACAGAACATGCCTTTGAAGTTAGCCAAGCTGGTATCATTCTATTCAATTTATTCTATTCAATTTAAAAATAGGGTCTCAGAGAGGTTAAGTGGTATGCCTAAAAAATTTTCTCTCTCTCTCAAGTTCTAGGTTGTCTCCAAATTACATCAGGAGGTGCTAAAAATTTTTTTTTAATTTTTTAAAAAATTTTTATTTTATTTTAGAAAGAGAGTGTGTGAGCAGGGGAGAGAGAGAGAAAAAGAAAGAGAGAGAGAGAGAGAGAGAGAGAGAGCGAGAGAGAGAGAATCCCAGGCAGGATCCATGCTCAGTACAGAGCCTGACTCAGGGCTTGATCCCACAATCCTGGGATTGTGATCTGAGCTGAAATCAAAAGTCAGACTGAACTTCCTAGGTGCCCCAGTGCTAACATTTTCTAAGTGAAATTAATTTGACTTACTTTTAACAAATTCATTTAAAAATTTTTTATTTTAGCATTTATTTTTTGAGAGACAGAGTGTGAGTGGGGGAGTGTCAGAGAGAAAGGGAGTCACAGATTCTGAAACAGGCTCCAGGCTCTGAGCTGTCAGCAGAGACCCCAAGCAGGGCTCGAACTCATGAACTGTGAGATCATGACCTAAGCCAAAGTCAGATGCTTAACCAACTAAGCCACCCAGGCACCCCATTAACAAACTCATTTTCGAGTGGCCATTCAATGGAACTCTGGATAGCTTGTTGATTCTTGGGAAATTTCCACTCATACATTCATTAGTAGTGAGTTTGTGACTAACTTTATTTCCATGAGTCTAGGACATTGTGAATATGTTCAAGAGAGCACTGAACTCATAGTACAAAGAAGGATTCAAGGCATAGTTCTATACTTCCCAGCTATAAGAACTTGGTCAAGTCACTTAATTCTTTTGGACTTACTTCCTCACTTAAAAATATGAGTTAGGGGGCACCTGGGTGGCTCAGTCAGTTGAGCGGCCGACTTCGGCTCAGGTCATGATCTCGAGGTCCATGAGTTCGAGCCCTGCGTCGGGCTCCGTGCCGACAGCTCAGAGCCTGGAGCCTGCTTCAGATTCTGTGTCTCCCTCTCTCTCTGCCCCTCCCCTGTTCATGCTCTGTCTCTCTCTGTCTCAAAAATAAAATAAACGTTAAAAAAAAAATTTTTTTTTTAAATATAAGATAGTTTTTGTGAGGATGAATTAAGACTGTGGGTGGGAAATTCCCTTCATAAGACGTAAAATAATACACAAATGAAGAAACAACAGAGGGCTCCTGCTTGGTAGACCACATTGATTCTGTGGAGGAGAAAAGTGGTAGTAGAAATTGAAACTACACAAAACTACAATCAGGCTCTGTGATCAGGAAAATGCTCCCAAAACACCTCCATCAGAAATACTTTGAACCAGGGACTCCTAGGTGGCTCAGTCGGTTAAGCGTCCAATGCTTGATTTTGGCTCAGGTCATGACCCCAAGGTTCATGAGTTTGAGCCCAGCATTCAGCTCTGCGTTGACAGTAAGGAGCCTGCCTGGCATTCTCTCTCTCTCCCTTTCCTTCTGCCCCTCCCCTGCTCACTCTCTCTCTCTCAAAATAAACTTAAAAAAAAAAAAAAATACTTTGAACCAGTTAGTCTGTTCTGACAAGAAGAATTTCATTCAATTAGCAAATAAGATGTTTTTAAGGGATGATTATGTGGTGGGTATGAGTGCCAGACCGGGGATAGAATGGTGAACTAATGTGGTCTCTACCTTGTGAAAATGACTCTCGTGGGGGACGATGCTCACTCAACTACTACTTAGGGGTTTAGTGGCCATAGGAGGTCATGTTCTTCTCTCCAGGAAAATCCCCAGAGTGACATGTGGTGTAACAGGTCAGGCTTTGGGCAGCAGTTAATTAGATCCACCTACATGTTCTCCACAAACTGTTGTCACAAGGAGCTGGGGCCAAATGTACCAGCAACATACATGTTGTAGCATCCAGGGCAGAGTCCCAGAATTCTCTCATATGCTTGGGGTGATTTCAAAACAAATCTTACTTTGCTCTACTGGGTCTTATTATAGTCTCATTCCAACAAAAACAAGATCAGCATCTTATTTCGAATTTATCAGTCTGTGAGGGCAATTTGGCTCCCCTGTATGTTTCTTTGTTTTGTTGTGTGGGTGTCTGTGTGTGTCTGAAGCTTTAGTTATTTATTTAGCACTCTTTTCAGGGAAACCTAAAATACTCCACCCTGAGATTGTCTCCCCAGAAACAATTATTATACGTGTTCATGTTGCAGATAATTTCAGCATGGGTGGGGGAATACAGACACGTCAAAGTGTATTTGTTATTCCCATTTTAGAAAAATGAAAGAGCCAGGAGATTATCTGCAGGCCACACAGAAAAGGAGAAAAGGTGAGTGAAAATTAAAAGCAGCATAGTTTTGGAAGCCATCTCATTAAGGGGTTCTTCTTCTTCATTTGCATTTTATGGTCCCTTATTTTCATATAGAACATGACACAAATACTGCCGTAATAGTTTTCCAGCATCAAACCATGTTCCAGTTGTAAAACAGAATCAGACTTCTGGCCGTCTTTTCTTTGGGGATGTTGAAGATACACTTCCAAACAATGATATATTTTTGTCCCGTGTTCGGAAAAAGAATGGGTGTACCATTTTCAGACTTTATGCCTGTGTGTGTGTGTGTGTGTGTGTGTGTGTGTGTGTGTGTGAGAGAGAGAGAGAGAGAGAGAGAGAGAGAGAGAGAGGGAGAAAGAAAAGGACAGAGAGAGGGAGAGAGAGAGAGAGAAGAGTGCCAGCCAATTGCCAAGGAAGATACCAAAGTTCTGCTTTCCTGTATCCTCTGTTAAGTTTTTTTTTAATGTTTATTTATTTTTTATTTATTTATTTTTTGTGACAGAGGACAAGCACATGGGGGAGGGGCAGAGGGACAGAGAGGGAGACACAGAACCCAAAGCAAGCTCCAGGCTCTGTGCTAACAGCATAGAGCCTGATGTGGGGTTCAGACTCACAAACGGTGAGATCATGACTGAAGCTGAAGTCGGTCGCTGAACCAGCTGAGTCACCCAGGTGCCCAATCCTCTGTAAGTTTCTTACTAAAGGGCTGGATATCTCTTCATCCCCATTTCTGCCCGCATCTGCCTACGTCCAGAGGCAGTAAGAAAATAGGTAGGCTTTTAAAATCTGCATATTTCCTGGTTCCTCAGCTTCTTCAGAAATTGAAAGAATAGATGAACATGTCTGTTTCTCAACATGAGCACTTGATTTTTGGTTTTATATTTTGTACTACTCATGTCATCATTTTTTCCTTCGTGTCTAAGATAGGATCTCTGTTGTAATGCCCCTGTTTTCACAAAGTACTGTAATTGCTTGTTCACGTGTGTGTGTCTGCCCTCCGTGAGGACGGGGCGGAACGTCAGGCCACAGATCCTACAGTGCCTACCACAGCACCCGGCAAAAAAAAAAATGTACTTCATAAATGGTTGTTAAGAGGGAAAACCTTCCCTTCTGCAAGTTTCTGCTATTCACCTGTGAATCTCTGGTACCTAGCCCACAAGATAAGCAAGCAACTCCTTCAGTGTTTGTGGAATAAATAATAGTCTTTCCCCAGCAATGAACACACGAGTAACTTATATCCGACCCTTCCCACGTGGGCTGGCAGGTCTGGACCCTCGGCTGCCCCTTCATAAAGACTTCTTGACTGATTGTAATTTTAACACTCTTCCTGAGCAATTGATTCCTTGTTTTAACACTCTCTGAGGGGGTTTTCCATGCCAACATTCCATTTCATTATTTTCCATAATTGATTATGCAATATTTCATGTTATCTTGAAATTGGTGAGTATGCAGCTTCACAGTGCTCTGGGTGGCACAGGTTTTATGCAGCTCTATGAATAAAAGGGCAGGGTAAATTTGATGACCCACTTGCTCTCTATCTCTAGATAAGAAAAGCTGGCAATTTTGAAGATATTTTTCCTTTAGAAAGCAGAGTTA